CTTCAATCATATCAGTATTCTTGAAATAGTTAGCTCATATTGCAGAGTTTCGCACTGACTGGATGAACTACCACAACCAAAGCTACCTAAACTTGGCTTTCCTGTTCATTATCACGTCCAGATCAGATAATAATTTAACGATAGCTGACCGTTGTATGTTATTACCTTAGAACACTGCTGCTATTACCAATATTGAGATGCTGTAATCAATACGTTTAAAAATATTTTACGGACAGTGAATTTGTTAAGATGTTACATGCTGATAATTCCATCCTGTATCAAACACACCGTATGGATTAAAATGATAATTATTGTTATTACTATAGCAGTGTAGAAACTGTTCAGATAGACCTTACGAGATTGACTATCAGAGTCTTGGATGGTAATGCATTTTATGCTAACAACTGCCAACTGACACCTAAAAGATGTCGTTTTCTTATGATACAAGAACACAGCGGGTATTCACTGTTTTTTTCCGGCGATATACGCCGTGTAAGCATAAATGCCAAACATTTAGACGGGCTAGAAATATGATTTTACATATACTATTTATTACCTCAAATATTTAACCAATACATGAATGACATTCTCACAAGCACTAGATTAGACGATGTAGGCAAAGTTGCCATGTTGAGGATACAAGAAAAACACTTCCTGCTTGTAATTTCTCGTTGCTATATTGGGTCAAATCACTCCACTTGTGTTGACAGATTGGGTCCTATGCGCATGGCTCGATATTGCCTAAGTATTCACTATATTGTAACAGTGGCCAATGTTTTTCAGTAGATAACATCTTGGAACTTAAAGCGACGGGTTCGAGTTCAAGCTGAGACGAAACGCGCATCCTGGATTCCACTGCAAGAGATGAAGTAAAACTACAACAAGCATAACAGGCCTTTACTGCCATTCTCCCGAATACAATTTGTGTCAAGCCAACTTGTGACAAAAATAATTTCCTAATGAATGCACTTTATTTTCGTTTAAAATCCACAGCACAAAAGTTATGAAAATCTTATCCTTTGACAGTCAAGTGATATTTATCTGATGGGATTTCCAAGATAAAGTTCTAGGCTGAGAATATTTTTCGTTCACACTTATCAATGTCAGTCGTAGTGAAAATTGAGAAACTGTTTCAAAAGAAACTATAAATCCTGGATGAAACTGGAAAGTAACCGTTGACTAGAACTATTACTGGTGATTGATGACAGAACAAAACTGTTGTGTACAACACAAATTTTCACAGTTATGTAGCTTTAATGTAGTTGAATATAGTTTGCATTGAGAAATGAAATCATTCGAAGAGCAAATGCAAAAAACAAGAAAGACTTTTCTGTTAACTGATATTTTGAACCAGAGGGCAGTGAAGTTACGTCAAACCAATAAACGTTCCATTCTACACTACATCAAAGATGTCTTAAAAACGGTCAATCAACTGCTTCATCCGTTCGAGATTGGAATGACACACAAGCCAACAAAATCACTACACAGCATGTTATACAAGTCAAAGGATCCACATGTTTTATAATTTAGTGTTCATGAGTTCAGAAAGCGAATAGAAATATGGACATATTTCTTGAAATTTTAAGTAATGTTGAAGCGCCAAAGGAAGTGTGTTTGAAGTATCAATTTCAATGATCAGGGGACTTATTGAAACATTCAACTACCGCTCAATCGATACGCTGAAAAATATTTCAGTAGATGAAGTAACAGAGATATTCAACTGTCTAAAATATTTAATTTAGTTTCGGTTTAGACAATACCAGAGGGGATTTCTTTGTGTACATACCTCAGATCAATCAATCAATATCAACATAGGACAAGGCATTACTGCGTAATGGTCCAACTTGACACACTAATATCACCACATCAAGTAGAAAGGGAGTGAGGTGAAGCATGAAGATGAGAGAATGCAGTCAAAAGAAATATTAAGTACGAGAAGAAAGAAAAGAGGAATAACAAATGTTGAGATTCGGTATAGCGTCGTTAAGATGACAATAATTTGAACATACATCTGTGCCACTGACATCAGTTCTGAACCATGCGATCACCTAGAGTCAGTCTCCAACCACTGGTTCCTCTAGTCCCGCCAACCCCAACCACCTACTCTGCATCACCCCACATGGCTCAAACCAACAGTCAGAGACTTCATACATTGGTGCCATGTTTTAGTCTGGACACCTAGAGCCTTTTTCCAGCCTGGACGTACTTTGGCTGATATTGTGTGATGAGACAATCGGTGACTAGGCATACCATCTCAATCGATGAGGTTCATAACCTCGTCAACTGATTTAACTCTACTCCTGACTTCTGCATTACTCACACGCATGGTGACACCACGGAATACGGCCTATACTACGAAGGCAACTATGGTCAAACACTTGAAGCCTTCTCACATCTTCCACTTTCAATGGCCATGTTTCATAGCCATACAGCAGAATAGATACCTCAGATAAAGCTTTATTTTGAGCATCATCTGTTGTTGAGCTTCATTGTCCTACTCGTTTAGCACCAGTTTATTTTCTGTGTAAATACTAACGATGATATTTTTCGAAATAAGTTTCCATTCAAAGATCTGGTATTCCACTTGTAGTGTTGGTCACCTAGTAGTAGGTTCTTCTAGACTCAGACTATTGTCCTGCATACGGAGTAGTCATGCCAACTTTGTGACATGATGATTCGGGGATTCCTTTGAAGTGTTGAATTTTTTATGCTGAGTGATAGTCATTCAAGTGAATCAGACTCTTTTCTCTGTATATGATGATATGTTAAATAGTTAAAGGCAATCAGCAAGAATCTCTGGACCAAAGTTTCGTATTTGTTGGCACCCACCAATTCACATCACCCAGTGTTGTAGTCAGCAACGTTACCACTGAGATATTCGAGCTGCGATTGACATCCTTCACGATTGGATCGGATATACTGATTGTTCACTGGATGGCAACCAATTTCATATTGTCTAGTTCTGAGTGGTGACTAACCATGTCACCAAGAGTCTTCACCTATTGATTCATTTGATCTCGCTGGCTCCAATCAGGTAGTCTACACCTATATACACGCCTCAGATTAATAGTCATGCACTGGTGCATCCTCTTCGTCTGCTCATCTTGAGCGTCCTACCAACCTAATCCGACTTCCCCCAGCATTCCATGTCGATTTAAGTGGTGACTCGGCGTGCGCTGTACACGTCCAAGCCACCTCTATCTCCAAAGGTTCACAAGCGCATCGACTGACTTACCTAACCTCTACATTCCTAAAGTAGTGATTCCATTTATAGAACCAATGCTGTGAAGACGAATGTGCTGAAAACCTATAGTCTGTTCATATTTTCTACTTTTAACCACTGTCTCATGACCGTATAACAGAACAGAATGAACTGCAACACAGTATACTCATCCTTTAAAAAGCATTCGGATATCCAACCAGTCAGCACCAAAGATGGCGCAAGTTGGTAAATGCTAAACGGTCCTTCTGTGTCCGAGCTGTAATGTCATCAGTAGTCAGTCCGTTCGAGTGGATATAACTCCCTAAGTAAGTGAAGTGATTGACACATTCCACCACTTTATTCACTTGTCAGAATCTTCACCTAGTAGGACGATGTTATCTGTATACTCCGAATCAATTACATGACCTTCAAGGTGTAGATCAATCCCTGAGAAGTTACACTTACATAACAAACTGGCATCCTTGACGGATAGATGTAGTTGCCGTCAATCTTGATAACAACTTCTTATAAACTCTGAAGAAGGAGAAAGATATGTCATATGATAACTAACAAAGATCTAGAATATAAATTATTAAGTAGCATGATGATTTCTTTTTGAAAATAAAAAATATGAGAACACTGTTATTCAGATTTTGAATAAAACTTACACACAATAAATATGAAGATGAGGTAAGTGTACATGCACATTAAAATGTGGTCAAGTCCAAAATACACTAGAATAAACAAACTAGTATATCAATAATTTTCCTCTATAACAATACTCACATCCAATGTCTTGAATAAAAATAAGCAATATAAGACGTAAACACTATGACACCATTTCAATCATCAAATCTCATTTGTTTTTGTCTAAACAGAAAGGTAGGCCAGACAAATAATAAGATTAGGAAGGTGTTAATAACTAAATCGTTAAATGAAAATATTTAGTCCCAGTTACTTATTAGTATATTGTAACGAAGAAGACAATAAGAATATATTTTTGAGATGAATAGAGATTTTTTTTAATTTAAAAGTAGTATTCATCCATCATGGACTGATATCAGTTGGGGAACCATTGAAAACCTAGGAGCATTGGACAGCTGTTTCGTCCTAGTATGGGACTCCTCAGCAGTACGTACCCACTACCCGGCTTGGGATGGAACTCAGGACCTTCAGGTTTACGGTGAATGCGTTACTGGGTCAGTTTCCAGTGGTTCGTAATTTCCAACTTTTGTCAATTCACGACTGAATGGTTAACGCGTTCACCGTGAAACCTCAAGGTTCTAAGTTCGATCCCTAGCCGAGTCATGGGTGCGTACTGCTGAGGAGTCCCATACTAGGACGAAACAGCTATCCAGTACTCTCAGATTTTCAATGGTTCCCCAACTCATTTCAATCCATGATGAATACTACAATAGAATATACTTAAAGAAGATGTAGTGTTCTCAACCAAGTGGTCATAACATCAGAAGAAGAAGAAAAAAACCTAACAAAGATAGGAAATTATTCAACAAAAGAGGAAAAACTGAACAAAATAACAAAAAGAGAGAATATGAAGAAATGATTTTAAGATATGAAAATAAAAGTTCCATGTATAATTGTCAATAAATCTATCCTTTAGTTCTAAGAATCTGTAAATAGTTTGCCCATAAGCCTAGTTAGAAGGTAACAGACAATAAACGATACAAGAATACACTTAACTGATAGAATATAAATAAAAAATAAGTTAAGAATGAATAGAATTTAGCGAATTAGATATCTATTTCTATTTGTTATCGTCATTATTCAACAAAATCAGTTACTTCTTCAATTGTTCAATAGTACCATAGATTGATGGAATATATGCCTTTTTTGGAGAGTGTATAGCTGTATTACTATTAGGTGAAACAGATCCACTAGTACGTTTAGCTAATACAGAATTCAATAGTAAACGTAATTCTTGTGTTAAAGTTTCAAATCGATAAGCAACACGAATATTAGGCAGATTACTACGTGTTACATCATTCCCCATAACACCTTCTTGTGTATAATTTGGTCCAAGCCAATGAGATTTAACCTAGAAAATAAGAAAAACAAAACAACAGTTCATAAGTTAATTAATCTGATTATTATTATTATTATTATTATTATTATTAGTCCCTTGGGTTCCTAGTGGAACATAGGGCTTCAGTAGCACGCCTCCAGTGACCTCTGTTCTCTGAGATCTTTTGAACCTGGTCCACGACAGCCCACAAGCTCTCATTTCCTCCTCGCACGATCTCCTCCATGTCACCCTCGGCACCGACGCCCAACTCGTCGCTCCCCCTGGGGATTCCACTCGAGTAACTGACCTGACGCGTGATGTCCTCAGTCGGCCTTCTCAGTGCATGGCCAATCCATCTCCACTTCTTCCTGCATATTTGTTGCGTGATAGATTCTTGGTTGGTTCGTTCCCAGAGTTCCTTGTTGCTTATCTTTTCTGGCCATCTGATCTTCAGCAGCGAGCGTAAGCAGTTGTTGATGAATGTCTGTAGTTTATTGGAAATACCTTTCGTGACGCGCCAAGTCTCTGAACCATACAAGAGCACTGACTTGACTGAGGTTGGTGTTGAAAATCCGTATCTTGTTCCGCATGCTGAGTGCAGAATCTGAATGTCTACAAATTTAATAACAAGATTTTTGTAATTATTACACCATCCCCGTATAGGACTACCCTAGTTGATATGTTATGATAACAAATTTGAGGATAATTTGTATAGTGGATGGATTTCAACGATACATTTGAAGTAAACAACGTAAATAACAGTTCCTAGACGGAAAAAGAATTCCAACATGATAGCCAGAATGAAGTAAGCCAACCAGAAACTTCATGGATTGATACTGTCTTGGAAAGATCACCCTGAGTTCTCCTCAAACCTAAACCTGCTTCAATTATCACGGCTCATTAAGGATGATAATAGGTCAGTACGAATAAATCCTAGTTAGCTCAGACATTGAAAGCTTGAAATTTCGCTTACTGTTCGACATCTAACCTTACCTCATTATTGACTATTCGATTTCATCATGCGAATACATTTATGATCAAATACCCGTAAGCCATTCACATTGTCTACGGTTGTACCTCACAACCTTAGAATTAGACAGAGCTCCACGCTGGACATTACGCCCACCCTTTGATTAACAATGAGATTGATAGCCAGTATGTAAAAGGTGCCAGTGTTGACAAATGATAATCAGACGTTTGATATTTATACTCAACCAGTCATCCATCCATCCAAATCAACATAGGACAAGACATTACTACGTAACGGTACGAGTTCTCACACCTCATATCACTGCATCAAGCAAAAAGGCAGTGAAGTGGAAGGTGAACATAAAGAAATCCAGTCAAAAGAAATATGAAGTACGAGAAGAGAGAAAGGAAGAATGACGAAGTGGTGAGATTCCGTGTAGCATTAAGATAAGGATAATGTGTGTATACATCTGCGCCACTGACATCAGTTCTCAGCCATATCACCCACAGTCTCCAACCATTGGTTCCTCTTGTCCCGCGGACCCCGACCACCTAGTCTGTATCGCCTCACATGGCTCAAACCAACAGTTAAATACTTCATACTTTGATGCAGTGTTTTATTCTGGCCGCCTCAAACCATCCGAAGCTACTTTGGCCAACACTGTGTGACGAGGCAGACGGCGACTAGGCTTACGTAACACATATCTCAGCCAGCCATCTCAGTCAATGAAGGTTCACAACCTCGTCAACTGTCTTACTTCTACTCCCTAAAATTCTACGCCTAACTTGTGCATTACTCACGTGGTGACACCACAGAATACGGCCTATACTACGAAAGCAACGGTGATCAAACACCTAAAGCCTTCTCATGTCTTCTACCATCAATGGCCATGTTTCACAGTCATATAGTAGAACAGAGTGGACTGCTGTGTAGTACACGCGACCCTTAATAGACAATCGGATATCACGCCAGCGCCACAGGTAGCGTAAGTTGGCAAAAGCCATCCAAGCTTTCTGTGTTCCTGCAGAGACTTCATCAGTCAATCAACTACTAGAAGTCCTTTAATAAGTTTCATCTTGTTCATAAATCAATAGTCTGACTAGTCTACCACTCAATGCATACTGTCAGTGATCACACTGAAATCCCTTATTATTATTGTTATTCCCTTGGATTCTTAGTGGGATACAGGGCTTCAGTAGCACGTCCCCATTTCACTCTGTTCTCTGCAATCTTTTCAACCTAGTTCCACAACTACTCACAAGCTTTCGTTTCTTCCTCATATGATCTCTTCCATATCATCCTCGGATGCCAAATTGAAATCGTTTATAGGAAAAAAAAACAAAAATGTGTACAATATAATGATAATTAAAAAATTTCTAGTGTTTTTATAACTTTGAAATATAATTTTATTTAAGTGAATATTTCAACTAGAATAGACATTTAACTTACTAAAGGAGAGAAACCGCTCATCAATACACTGTTACGAGCTAATTCACACATATCTGTAGAAGTGAATTTCCAAACTTGTGTAGCTATACTATACTCTTCAATTAATGGTTCTTTTGTAAAATGAAATTGTAATGGATCATCAGTACTTAAACTGACAAATAGACCACGAGCTAGATAATCATTTAATGGATTACGATGATAGTCCAGAAATAAGGAATTATTACTAAGAGGTGACATTGCTATTCCAATCTATTTTTAATTAAATAAAACAAGAAAACAATTAATAAATAAGAATATAAACAATATTAATATACTGAAGGTGATTGCTATGACTGACAAAATCATCGTAGAACCTTGCACACAGATGTAACTATTTAAGTTGTCATACTTCACTGAAGATAGAGATTAGTGTAAATATTTAAACTTTAGAAGATGTCAAGGAGTGAATTCATCTGTGTCATTGTCACTAATTTTCAGTCATATCACCAAAAGTTCTCAATTACTGATTCTTTTCGTCTCAGGGACCCTAACTAGGGCAGTCTATATCTCACAACACGATTCACATTAACAGTGAAACACTAGTTCTAACGTAATCCCACTTACCCTATCATACAATGTCAAGGTAGGTGGTGGTTCAATATGCACAATATATGTCCAAATCAATTCAGTCGTCTAAGGTTCACACTCTCATCAATCGACTAGACTGTCTTGTCTAATATCCTTCACCTAACCTCAATATTGTTCACATGATGATTCTACAGAAGGTAAGCGATGCTATGAAGAAGATATCAGTGATCAAAACTCTATAATCGCTTTATATCTTCTACTTTTAACACTTTTGTCTTACATTCAAACAAACAGTAAAGCATGGACTGCAGTTCAGTATACCCGGCCTTTGATAAATAGTTAAATATCTCGCTAGCGTCCCATACAGTAATCTAAGGTGACTTATAAAATACTGAAAATCAAAACAACAATTTTACCACACTCATCAATTATCAGATGATAATGTTTGAATTCTCTAGGCAAATTTATTCGCTAGTCATTTCTCTAAATCTTTAAAACATCTCACACTTGTATACATTCAAGCTGACCACCTCTATGACTATCACCTTAACATTGTGGATAGACATGTAAATTACGTCTAACCACATATACCATATGAGACGTACTTTCTGTATAGTTTTTTTTCCTGCCAGAAAGGCTAGACAGAGAGTCATAAGGACTGACAATACCAATCAAGGCTTGAAAGAGAAGCTGAAGTGTTGGATATGAGAGGATTATAACACGTTAGAATTTATCACTGCTACCATCCAAATGTTGGAAAAAGAGATAGATGATGCGACCAAGAACACCACATTATGATTAGAACCGCATTATTTCAGCATCGATGACCAGATAAGTAAACGTGGAAAGAAGTTACGTAATATCAACAAAAGTGTGTATATGAACACGAGATGTTTTGTGAGCTTTGCAGAAAGCATAAGAAATTTGGAAAAGTCGATTTTGAACTAAATTCTTTCTGCCATAAAAGTTTATTATTGTTTGTCCCTTGGGTTCCTAGTGGAACATAGGGATTCAGTAGCACATCTCCATTCCACTCTGTTCTCTGCAATCTTTTCAACCTGGCACCACAACTGCCCATAAGCTCTCATTTCTTCCTCACACCATCTCCATGTCACCGTCACCTCGGACACCCAACTCATCGTTTCCCATCGGGGTTCCACTCGAGCAGTATGGCTTGGCGCATGATGTCCTCGAATGCTTATCTCACCGCATACCCAATCCATCTCCACTTCCTGCTACTACATATCTGTTGGGTGATACCTTCTTGATTGATTCGTTGGCAGGCCAGAGTTACTTGTTGTTTGCTCTGATTATTCTGGCAATCCATCTGATCTTCAGTAACCAGCATAGATAGTTGTTGATGAATATCTGTAGTTTGTTGGAAATGCTTTTCGTAACGCACCAAGTCTCTAAACCATATAGAAGCACTGACTTGACATTAATGTTGTAAATTCGGATGTTGTTCACGCTTTATGCTGAGTGTAGAAGATCTCCACACTGGTTTCAGGTTAATGAACGCCTGTCTTGCCTTTCCGATCCATAAAAGTATTCATATGATCAGTGTACATAATATCATGTAAACTGTCATTCGATTCCGAAATTTAACGTCTATCTATCTGTACATGTAAAATATGCTACCCTCTTCAGTAAACATCTCCACAATTTTTAGACACCTTTTAGTTTCTCTTAATCACAGTATCTTCCATGAATTGCTTAATTTTTATCCATTTGGTTGACTGAATATAACCTGTTAGAGTGCTCCGAATTGCTCCAGTGAGATTTGTAGACTGATAAACACGAATCATTACTCTATGCTAATTCTGACCGATAACTGCAACCTTTACATTGTAGTTAGATTTATATACTACAGCAGTGCCATGCTGATGTTGCCTCCTCTATAGGAAATGGGTTAATAATAGCCGATTCTAAAAATAGCGCACTCCTTATACTGATGCTGGTGATGTACATTCTTAGTTGGATTCGAAAACACAGATTAAAATCCCAAACTTCGTAAAAGCCCTTGCAACCGACCTTAAGAAGATGTCCTTTAAGCTTTCCGGTCACGAACTAACCCGTCTTTTTTACGTAGCTCAAGAACTAGCGTTCTATGATGTAGGCAGCTGGGAAGTGCCAACCGCCCTCATAACTTCCCAATGAGGTCTAAATACAAAAATCCTAAAACCGTCATGTGTGAAAGGCCTCAAGCAAATGGACACTGGACTCTGCAGTTACACAATCCTATACGTTTTTTTTCTTTCGGATACCCTGCAGAACCACCTCTACGGTGTAGTCGGGAAGTACTAACCACATGCACGCTCCCAGTAGTATAAAAAACTCTATAAAACATAACTTACCGTCTTTAGCTTTGTCTCATACTTTGCTTTCACCTCTTGATACTAATTAATACTAACTTATTACAACTTCCTCGACCTCTCATTCTGTAACCATTGTCAACGAACAAAGACATCGAAGCACTATTCCTAATCTTCTAAGATTCTAGTACCAATTCCACATTTGAGCTTTCAACATCCGAACCCTACGATAAATCGGACAGCAAGCATCTCTCACCAAAACTATAAAATCTCGAGCCAAAGATGTATACAGTGTTCCTGAGACAACTATACAGGATCCAAGTGTGGTAATTAAATTGATTTCAGTTGACCATAATAGTGGATCTTCTAAATTCACCTTACAAGTATCCAGAAACTCAATGGCTAGCTCTCGTGGATTCGGTAGTGTAGGCATGGCATTGAGCTGTAGGGCAGAAAGTGAGCTTCTCAACGGGATACTAATCGACAGCATTCCATGTGCTGTTCGACTGAATGCATCTTTAAGAACTAGGAAGGATCGCTATCCATTTGTAATCTCCGCCTACGCACCCACTGACTGCAGTTCGGATGATATAAAGGATGAATTCTATGAGAAGTTATCTATGTTGCCACAGAAACTAAAATTTTCAGATGTAATCATAATGGGAGGTAACTTCAACGCTCAAGTAGGGAAGTTGAGCCAATCGGAAAGGCATCTTAGGGGTATTTACGGAATAATATACCAACGGACTGACAACTGTGATCGTCTGTTGCAATTCGTTACGACAATCACTTGTTTCTGGTCAAGACTAACTTTAAGTATAAGAAGAGACAATGTCTCACGTAGCGTCTACTGAAATTAAACCAGCGGTAGACAGATAAATCATACTGCTATGGGGGGTCGTTGACGAGGGTCGATGGAGGAGTGCCACTCTTTCTGAAATACCTGCTTTGATGCTGAAAAAGTGCTAGCACGGGTAAGTGTATGTTTCCACCTTACTGGTCACAGAAAACATGCGGCAGTAAAGGTTCGTTCTGCTAGATTGGAATACAAGAATATCAAGTATGTATTTAGGGAGGAGATAGCTAGGCATTTATCTAATCGTGGTAGCAATTCTCTTCGCGATGAAGACTGACATAATATTCAGCGTTAAAGACAATTGGCAACCCAAGTGGTGGAGAAGGAGGGGGTCTGTAATTCATTCCAAAGGGAAACGACTTAGAAGAACAGTACAACTGGTCTCCATCTACCTGAAATGTTTTAAAATGGGTGTGGGAAATTGCTGAATAAATAGACGTAGGTACTAGGTAGTGTATAGGAATCACAGGGAGTCTCATCAGACTAGTATACATCTCTGATCATTCCAATCCATAAGAAGCAAGAGATGTCTTCCTGTGATAGCCATAGGGGAATCAGTTTAACTAACATCGTGTCCAAGATCCTAGTGTTAATAACCATCCCCAGCCTAACTCCAGCTAGGAAACAACGAATCGGAGAAAACTAAAAAGGTTTCAGACCTTGATGAGGGTGTATCGATGAAATTTGCACACTCCGTCAAGTTTTGAAACGCAGACATACTTATTGGAGGTAGGTATTTGCGATATTTCTTAACTTGGAAGCAGCATTCAAGTCTGCTGACTTTGAGGTGTTTTGGTAGTGTTTGAGTGTGAGGCAAGTATCCGGAAAATATATGTAACGCTAATGAAACCTCTCTACCGGAATTCACGTAGTACCATGACCTATGGGTTACTGTCATCAGAATTGACGACAATTAGAGCTATCCGTCAGGTATGCGCGCTGTCACTGTTAGTGTACAACTTCTTTATAGATTTATTGATGGACATAACCCTACGTAAGTCTGACTTCACAGGGATTGATCTACACCCTCGAGGTCATCTGGTTGACTTGGAGCATGCAGATGACATCGTTCTACCATGTGAAGACGCTGACAAGATTCAGAGTCATCTGAAGGCCGTGAACGAAAATCTAAGTATGAGTTGCATCAGCCCGAACGACCTGGCTGGTGGCTACATTTCAGCTTGGATAGAAAAAGGCCATTTAGCACTCATCAACCTGCGTCATCCCTGGCATCGGTTAACGAAATATCCGACTATCTACTAAAAGACGAGAATACCACGCTACAATTTGTTCTCTTCTATTATGTGAGAGTGAGACATGGCCGTTAAATGTAGAAGATATGAAGAGACTATAGGTTTTTGAGCACATGAATCTTTGTAGTATTGCTCGTATATGACGGAATCACCAGATAAGCAATGTAGAGGTTAGATGAAAATTACTAGGCAAGACAGACAAGTCAGTTCATGAGGTCGTGAATCTTCAGAAACAGAAGTGGCTTGAACACGTACTGCGTATGCTGAGTCACCAAATGAATAGACATCCAATGCTGGAAGAAATTGGATTAGGTTACAAGAGGGTTCAGGATAGCTAGACGAAAATGAGGCACCAGTGCATGAAGTCACTCACTGACTGTTGGTTTGAGCCGGTTACAGACGTGTAGACTATCTGATTGGAGTCGGTGAGAACATATGAACCAATAGGAGAAGACTCTTCGTGACAAAAGTATTATTAGCAAGCAAGATGATATAGCATCTGTTCGTCAAAAAAACATCTTGAAAATAAAACATTGCATCAGTTGGCATCTGGCCAGAAACCAGATGGTCGCTGGTTCGAATCCAGCCGCGGTTCAAATTTTCATTTCACCTTCAATCATCACCCAGTATAAATAAAAGGAGACAAAGAGTTGGATTTACAAAGTGTATTCCACCACCCGATCATTAAAGTCAATCAACGGAACTACCATACAACAAATTAGCAATCTTCAAAACAATAATGAACGAAATATCCCTATTGAAGACAAACATGAATCTTATCCATAAGAGGAAATGCTCTAAAGAAACTCATCAACATTTGTTGGTAGGATAATACTAACCACAAGCCAACTTTAGAAATTTCCTGTTTTGCCAGAAGAACACAATATCATACTTAGCTTTTCAATGTTTGTCTAAGAAGCCATTCTAAGAATCTTCAATCCTGCATAATCAATCTTTTTTAACGAAATATCTACAAAGAGATATTTACCCTAGATAATCAACTGAAATTCTACTATGAACTGCAAATGTATGTAAGTAATTATGAGAATTTAAATTTCCCTTTGAAAGAAAACTGGGCTTTACATGTTTTACAGTTGAATAACGTTAACCAATCAAATTCCTTTTGCCTAGGATCGAAAAAAATTGTCCAGAAATCAAGTTAACAAAATTATCAATCTTTCAACCAATTATCATAAGCTTAGCATATTTATATATTTTATTTCTTGATCGACCAATACTGTTGAGTAATCTGATGAGCAGAAGGAAATGAAATGAACAAGTTCTATAGCCTTTTTACCTTTTTTTTAATTTAAATTATTGTTCCACTTGTTCTTGTTTGTAGTCATAAATCAGTAAAGTGCATAGAACAATCTTTTTATTTCCATATGTACTTATAGAATATGATGTTTCCAAATTTCTTTTATTTAATTCAAGACGGCTTTAAATTTGCAGCATAACAGGGAACCAATAGAAATCATGATATACTAAACAGTAATCTTGACTTCTATTGGTTCATTATATAAGGTCGATAAATGACCTTTTTGAAATGGGAAGTAAGTCAATTAAACTGATAAAAATAAACAAATTAAATAAACACATATACATATATGCGTACGGTTTTAGGCAAACTGGTGAATTTTCAATACAAATAGAAACATCCTTTTCGATATCATAATGTACAATGAACAATACTGAATTATTATATATTATTATTTGTCTCTTGGGTTCCTAATGGAACATCGGGATTCAGTAGCATGCCTCCAATGCGCTCTGTTCTCTGAAATTTTTCGGACCTGGCTCCACAACAGCCCACAAGCTCTCATTTCCTCCTCACACGATCTCATCCATGACACCCTTATCTCGGACGCCCAACCCGTCGCTTCTCATCTGGGTTCCACTCAACGACCTAGCCTGGTGCGTGATGTCCCCAGTTGGCCTTCTCAGTGTATGCCCAATCCATCTCCATTTCCTTCTGCATATTAATTGAGCGATAGGTTCCTGCTTCGTTGGTTCGTTCACAGAGTTCCTTGTTGCTTATTCTGGCCATCTGATCGTCAGTAACGAACCAGCGTAGGTGGCAGTTGTTGATGAATATCTGTAGTTTGTTGGAAATTACTTTCGTAACGCGTCAAGTTTCTGAGCCATACAGAGGCACTGACTTAACGTTGATATTGAAAATCTGGATCTTGTTCCACATGCTGAGTGCATTAGATCTCCACACTGTCTTGCTTTTCCGATGAATTTGTTATATGAAACAAATGATCTGTTAGTGAACTGGATCAACACATTTTATGCAGTTTATTTATAAACCAGTAATAAAATATTATACAGGCTAGTTAATTAGTAATAACCATAGTGCAATTACCTGAGAAATATAGTAGAGGTATTGAAGAACAGGAGCTTTACGTAACAGTAAACCATGATTAATACTTTCAGCCAATAGGAAACATGTTACTAAATGATTGATATTGCCTGCTTCACCAGAATGTGGTCTCAATGAAAAGGTGTTTAGACCACGATGACTAATGAAATGAGATAAACAAAACGTTAAAAAAAGGAAAAAAAGATGATGAGTATAAAATTATCATTAATTTGATGATAGCCATAAGAAGAAATGAATATTCATACTTTTTACAAGAATAAACTGGGTTTTTTTTTCCAGATCTTTGATTCCATGTGCTCTTCTAAGTCTGTTTTTCAGGAAATATAGTCACTGATAAGACCAATTTCTTCTGTTTACTCTGATCTTGCACAAATAAAACCGATAGAAAGTAGTTCCAAGCTGAATAGAAGTTAGTAGAATGCTTATACTTTGAAACTAGTTGTTTTCAACCTTTCGCTTTGTAAATTCGTAGTGAAACTAAGAAAAACGATATTGATTAATGGTAATAGGCTGTTTAGTGTCTAAAAGTACATAGTATAACTATTCCTGAAGACTTGAGTAGTGACCGCCAAAATAATGAACACTTTTCTACAGTTTATGTACCTGCAAGGTACAAAGACGAAAATGTGAAACAGTTAGTCCCATTTTATGAATTTCGATAGCGTAATTAGAAGACGAAGTTTATCTAAGCAATGTGAGTGATGTACTTGAGCAATACATTTCGAACAATCTGATCCCCCATACACTTACTTGTCTCAAGTCACTGGGAGGGGGGGATAAATACAACAATTAACACAATAGGGGATTAAAATTAAGAAAGATGAGAACAAGCAGGAAGTGATATAGTTGATCCTAATCTTGGTAAGAAAATAAAGTTTACCAAAGTAGGTATAGTGTGTAAGAACAAACTGCTTTTGTACACATAAAGGTGGTTTATATATGTGTATGGTTATGGCTTGCGCAAATCTCAGAATACGTCCCCAGACTGTTTCAAAGACGAAAAGCCTAATTCACAACTGATCATTACATATGTAGATGTAACAATTATTTCACCATAAATGAGTGAATTTAGTGTAATATTACATACTGAATATTGCATAATATCAACAACAACAACAAAAGATATCTGCAATAAAATGACTATCATTTTTTACTATTTTAACACTTTGCCGTTTTTAGGTTTTATTGTTTACAGGACTCAAGATAATTCTTAATTCCTATTGAAATGAGATGAAATGAAATGTACTCAGTAATCATGTGGACATTAGTACATATTATGTGAGAGCTACTTGCCTGCTGCTCAAACTTTGGTAGGTTGAGCGGTGACTAAACTCATGCATAACTTAGGCTGAAATTTAATTGTCTGCATCTATTGTTTAAACATAAAGCAATTAATACTTTCTATCTGTATACAATGTTTATTCCAATTGACGAATAAATTTCAAGAAAGAAAATCTTATTATCAAGTAATATCAAGTATCAAGTATCAAGTAATATCAAGTAATATCACTATTTTGTCACTCCTCTTTCCTTTCTTCTCATACTTTATATTTCTTTTGACTGCATTCACTTATCTTCATCCTTCACCTCACTACCTTTTTACTTGATGTGCTGATATGAGGTGTGGCAACTCGGACCGTTACGCAGTAATGCCTGGTCCTATGTTGATAATGATGATGAATATCTGACAATACCTAAGCGAAAGGAGAAGAAAACATCGAAATCATACACCCACACACACACACACACAGTTTGATGTGCAACTTAACAAAAATGTATATTGGTTCAAATTGCCACATATCACAGTAACAAGTGGACGAAAAAAGAATAATAAGGAGGTAAGAGCATGAATACATGATATTGATGGTAAAAAATAAACATATATGCATTGCTGTGACCGATTTCAAGCTATATAACAAACAATTGGCAATGATTGATTCAGAATACCACAAGTAAGTGAACTATACAGTCTAAACAAATCAACACAGCTCAAACCAACAGTCAGACATTTCATGCACTGATCCTATGTCTTAGTCTAGTCTCCTTTAGCCTTCTTCCAGATCAACTTCTGCGAAAATGCACGGTGGCTCGGTAAGCGCAATGCACATCTAACACACCCAGTTGGTAAGGGTTCACAACTTCAAGACGCAATTTCCTATTACTCTCCATCTAACTGCGACACTACTCAAGCAGTGGATCAGCTATATGTGGCAATGCTAAAAAGTCAGCTATGACCAAAATCTCATAACGTCTTCATATCTGTGGTAAAAACAACTAGGTAGATGATAATGGGAAACCACAGCATTACTGTCTTTCATAGAAGTCTATAAAGTATTCATGCGAAATAGGAATTTACGATTGCAGATCCTAACTGATTATTCTGAAGTTTATTTATTTTCCCTCATGTTGAACTGACGTCGATTAATTATCATAATTAATCCCTTGGATTCCTAGTGGAACAGAGGGCTTCAGTAGTACATCGCCACTTCACTCTGTTTTCTGCAGTCTTTTGAACCTGGCACCACAACTGCGTACAAGCTTTCATTTAATCCTCACTCATACGATATCCTACATGTCACCCTCGGACGTCCGACTCGTCGTTTCCCATTAGGGTTCCCCTCAAGAGCTTGGCCTAGCGTGTGATATGACCAAACTCTCTTCCCCCAATCTATTTCCACTTTTTTCTGTATGTTTAATGGGCGATACGTTCTTGGTTGGTTGGTTCGTATCCAGAGACCCTTGTTGGTTATTCTTATTATTCTGGCTATCTGATTTCACCATCAAGTGAGCATAGGTGGCAGCTGTTCATGTATGCTTATAATCTGTTGAAAGTACTCTTCGTAACGCGCCAACTCTCTCAGCCGTCACATAGAAGCACTGACTTAATTGACTGAGTTAATGTTGAAAATCGTGATGCTGTTCACGCCTTATGCTGTTTGCGTTGCATTGCAGTGCAGTGCAGTATACCTCCACACTGATTATTTCAGATGGATGGAGGAAGACCTGTCTTGCTGTCTTCCGATCCTGACTGCTTTGACATCGTCATCTGTGCCACCGCCGGTTGTTCAAACGATGCTGCCTAGTCAGGTAGGTATATGTAACAGACAATTCCTTTAATTTCTTGCATTGATGGTGATTGATGCTTCTTCTTCGTCTTCTTGTCGTTGGTTGGGTTTCTTCATCACCGCCGTCTTCTCTACGTTCACTTGAAGGAAGTGCCGTCTTCGCTGCCTCACCTCTTTTGTCAACTTGTTGGTTCTTGCCTCAGAGTTTGTGCGACACAAGATATTGAAGATAATTTATCATCACCGAAATCTATATTTTCTAAGGTCTTTGCGTCGATTCGTTAATGCAAATGAAATGTGACAAACAACACAGATAAGTTATTGTGGTTGCTTTCATTTCAAATCTCTATGGACAAGTGACCATTGAGTCGATGTTTCATAATCATAATGATAACAACTATCGGGATTCCTTTTCGGATAGACCAGAAGATTGGCTAGATTGTTTTTTTGGTTCACATTTTCAGTAAATCTTACACTTTAAAGGTCACTAATCAGTCAGTCAGTCAGTCAGTCAGTCAGTCAGTGAGAGAGTTGAAATCCACCTGACCTGGCATAAACGCATAACGATCCAAGTTTTCATACTTCATATCAGCACATCAAATGAGAAAGCATCACGACTGAAGATTTTTTTTGAAATGAAAAAAAAGGAGTCAAAATTAGTAGAAAGTTGTGAAAAGATAACTAGATCACCAGCAAGCAGGAACTGCTTCATCATATATCATACCTACAGCACTGAGTGACATGGGTTCGAAAATGTAGATCTACCTTGCTGAAGTGTGTAAATAAGCAAGCAACTCAAGTGAAATACATTTTCCTGCGGATTACATCCAATCAACTAAAATAATATTGCTTATAATAAATATTCACAAGTCTGTGTAAATAAAAAGTAAAACCTTAAGTGTCTGTAAAACTAGACACAAGGTAAAGTATACAAGCTAGACAAAAATTCTTCATTAACAAGATATTAGATGAATAACAACACATGAACTTTTTCATGTTCATAAATGTTTTGATGTCGGACAAGAAAAAAGGAACAACAACTAAATTCATGATATATAAACAAAAACTGAAGGTCATTGTAAAAGTACTACAACTTTTTAGTTAATCCTTCCCTTATTCACTTGATTAGTCTGTTGGCAAATGATTTATACTTTAAAGTGATTTTCATCATGAATTGGCATAAGATCTAAAACCGCTGAAGATCTAGGCGTATTATTTACTAGGTGAAAATTGTTCAATACTTCTAGGTATTCAATCGTTCATCGGCTAATATTATTCTGCATAGAAATCAATTGCCATTTTCTTGACACAAAGGATACATTTTAAAACGTGGATGATCCATGTGATTCACAAATCGTGTCACATTATGTTATGATAAAAAAGGTGAAGTCTAAAATCTGTCTGGCATATTATATTATCATTATTTATCTCTTGGGTTCCTAGTGGAACATAGGGCTTCAGTAGCATGTCTTCATTCCACTCTGTCCTCTGCAAACTTTTGAACCTGGCTCCACGACAGCCCAGAAGCTGTCTTTCCTTACTCACACCATCTCCTCCATGTCACCCTCGCCTCCGACACCCAACTCGTCGTTTCTCATCTAGGTTCCACTCGAGGGCATCGCCTGACGCGTGATGTCCCCAGTCGGCCTTCTCAGTATATACACAATTTATCTCCACTTCCTTCCAGTGCATATTTGTTAAGTGATAGGTTCTTGGTTGGTTCGTTGGCAGACCAGGGTTACTTGTTGCTTATTCTTATTATTCTGACCATCTGATCAATCTTCAGTATCGAGTGAGCATAGGTGGCAACTGTTGATGATATATATCTGTAGTTTGTTAGAAGTCTCTTTTGTAACGCGCCAAGTCTCTGAGCCATACAGAAGCACTGAGTTGACGTCGGTGTTGAAAATCCAGATCTTATTCCACATGCTAAGTGCAGAAGATCTACACAATGATTTCAGGTTAATGAACGCCTGTCTTGCTATCTTTCCGATCTTGGCTGCTTTGACGTCCTCATATGTGCCGTCTGTATTTCAAACGATGCTGCCTAGATAGGTGAAAGACGCTACTTCCTTTTAGTTTCGCCAGTTCATAGTGATTGGTGCTTGTTGCTGTTGGTTGGTTAGGTATTTTCATCACCTCTGTCTTCTCTACGTTCACTTGAAGTCCCGTCTTCGCTGCCTCTTCTGTAAACTTCTGTTTACATGACATTAGACACAAGTCATCAGCGAAATCCAAATCTTGTAGGATCTTTTCCCGGTCCAGCCAGCGTATGTCCCTCTTCTCGCTCGTCTGGCACATTGCTGGTTTATAATGTCACAAGGAATAGTACGCCATACCTTTGTCATCTGTTGTTAACTGCTTCGATATTCATTAGAATGTTGAGGTAACGAAGTGAGACAAATCTGCCGCTGTGCATAAATTTGAAAGTACTTAAGTAGTATAACGCTGTAATATACTGCACGTCTATAAACTCCACTAAATACTACAATCGATGTATAAAGCTTCGCCTTAGTCATCAGTGACGTCAGAAGAAATCACTGGAGTTAGTATAAACCTCTGATCAATAATTGCTGATTATCAAATGGTTAGACCACTGAGATATTCCAAAAATCTAATCGAAACCCAATCAACAATCGCGTTCAGGAATTATCACCTCGCCTGGTTAACCAGTTCACTAGTTACCAGCCGGTCCTAAGCCCGAGCAAAGACGGAAAGTTGGGCATAAGGCTAGCAACCCTACCCCGTAAAACCAATCAAAACGGTATAAAACCTTCGAAGCACAGACGAGGATGTCAAAGCAACCAGCATCGGAAAGACAGATAGACAGGCATTCATTAATGTGAAATCAGTGTGGAGATCTACTACACTACACTCAGCATAAAGCCTAAACAACATCCACATTTTCAACACCAATGTCAAATCACTGCTGCTATATGATGGTTGAGAAACCTGGCACATCACGAAAACCACTTCCAACTAACTACACACATTCTCAATCACATCAACAGCTGCACACACTGCCTCGTTACTGAAGACCACATGGATTGCCAGAATAATGAGAATAAGCAACAAGGAACTGTGGCTGGCTGGCTGGCTGGCTGGCAACCAACCAACGAAGCAAGAACCTATCACTCAACAAATATGCAGTAGCACGAAGTGGAGATGGATTGTGTTGGGCATACACTGAGAAGGCCGATTGGGGACATCAAGCACCACGCCATACTGTTCGAGTGGAACTCAGATGTGAAACGATGAGTTGGGCGTCCGTGGTGAGGTGACATGGAGGAGATGATGTGGGGAAGGAATGAAAGCCTGTGTCAGTCGTGGAAGGAGGTTGAAAAGACTGCAGAGGACAGAGTGGAATGGAGACGTGCTACTGAATCCCTCTGTTCCACTAGGAACCCAAGGGGACAAATAATATATAGCTACGTGTAGCTCGATAGGTGAAGCGGTGCTCAGACCCACTACAACCTTACCTGAGACATGCCACTCTAATTATTGTAATAACTCAAGAAAGCATATATAAAGAGGAAGTCTTAAAAGAGATGAAGCAGATGTCTGGTAATTGTCGTTCTACAGTACTTCAACTTGATACTTGTATACAACGATTAAAATCTTTGAAGATATTCAATTCTTTAACGGTATACAAAAAAGCTCAATTGTAAGACTAATCAGTAATTAAACAGACAACAATTCAATAAATTAGATGATTCTTTATGCATTTTCATTTATCCACTTACCTTCTAAACTTATTCAATTGAGTTATATTCGCATACATATAAAATATATAATAAGAGTATGGTGGATTTCATTTAAATCATATTTATCCGGTGTTGGAGTTGATACATTGAAACAATTTTATCAGATTTTGACTCATCGTCTACTGAATCGAAACCAGTAACATATTGTAGAAATGCATGTAACTCTGGATGTGATTTAGGATTAGCAGTTACTTCAAATAATGGTTGAAAAACATTTGTAATAATATCCTAAATAGTTTATATATAAAAAAATATATAAAAATGAAATAAATTCTTGATAAAAATTATTAAACAAAAAGAAGTACAAACTGAACTATATAAAGATTTTTATTGTTATGAATAGATTGGAGTTTAAAGTGTATATCTAATGAGAGGTGTTGGGTCCCACCACACGGCTGAAGAGTCTTAAAGAAAGATGAAACAGATGACCATTGATTCAAAGTTTTCAGCAGTTCTGTAACTGATATCAACTTTCAACTTTATACAACCCTTACAAATCATCAATTGAAAAATATCACCAGATAGTGTCCACTTAAACAAATATATCCATCTGCACGTTTATCTCAATCTCAAGAAAGTGGAGACGCTGCCTACTGGAGACAAGATCATATCAAAAAGGGGAGCAGATATAGGTTCACATCACTCACTATCTACTGCAAGGAACCTTCCAAAACAAGTTGAAAGCCTTCAAAGAACTTGGTAATAGACCACAGTCCAAATTGAACAACAGAACAGAAACTGAAGGACGAAACTATAAAGGACCTCACGTCAGTCATCATGACATAATGGGAGACATTGAGCAACATCCCTGAAGGAACCTGTGTGGAAGAACACTGCAACTCTTTGGAAGAGATGTGGAAAGAAACCTACATAACCATATTAGGAAGGAAGAAAAAAAAGGACAAGGAATGGATCTCAACGGACAGATAGAAGCTGATAGAGGAGGGGGAGGAAGATGATGAAGAAGATGAACTAGTGCAAGGATGCACAACGAAAAGAAGAACTGAGTACAACGTATAAAACACAGGACAAAGAAGTGAAGAGGAGTGTATGCAAAGACAAAGACACTTCTACGACACATTTTCAAGTGAAGCAGAACAGGCTGCTGCAGGTAAGAGAGACCATACAACACTATATGGAATAACAGGGTTACTATCTGGGAAGAGGTCTACGCAAACGAAACCGATGAAAGATAGAGAAGGAAATCTAGTTAGCAGAGAGGAGAAATAAAGGAAACAATGGGCTGGCTACTTTGAAAAGCTCTTGAATCGACGACCACCACCTGCAACTCGTCCGGAAATACCATCAGCAACGGCAGAACCACCAGTGAACACATGCCCCCCGACAAAAGCAAAAGTGAAGTCCTGAACGACATAAAACTGCTGAAATCCGGGGAAGTAGCAGGACCAGAAGCACTGGAAACAGTGGAGATGCTCACACCACTATTGCAGAAGGCTTGGAAGGAAAGAAAGGTACTTGCTGGTTGATTGGAAGGAGGGCAAATTTGTCAAACTCCTAAACAATGCAGACCTAATTCTTTGCAAGAACTGAAGAGGAATCATGCTCCTGTCCACCCCAAGTGAAATATTATGCCGCATCACTAAAAGATGCTCTTGATTCGAGATCACAACCGGAATAAGCTGGCTGGCTTCAGGAAAAACAAATCATGTTCGAAGCAAATTGCAACGCTTCGCTACGCATCATCAATAGAGAGAGTATAGAATGGCAGTCCAGTTATCACTCTACCTCAACTTCATCCACTATGAAAAGGCCTTCGACAGCGTCGACCGAGAAGTAATTTGGCAGGCGGTCGCTTCAACACTACGGAATACCACAAATCTTTATCAACCTCATTCAACAGTTATATGACGACGCCATATGCCAAGTGATCCACAATGGAAAGCTCAATGATGCCTACTATCGTCAATGATCTTCCTGATTGTGGTCAACTGGAATGGATCATGCAGCAAATCGTGAGGAGGGAGAAGAAGGGCATACGCTAGCTGGACCGACAAAAAGACCCTAGGAGATTTGGATTTCAGCGATGATTTATGTTTGATTTCTTATTGCACAAACTCGAAGATATGCAGGCAAAAGCCAACAAGTTGACATGAGGCAGGGCAGCGAAAACGGAATTCAAGTGAATGTTGAGAAGACAGAGGTGATGAAAATACCCAACCAACAACAGCATCAACAACAACAAGCACCAATCACCATCAATGGAAGAAACCTTAAGGAAGTAGTCTCTTCCACCTACCCACCTACCTGACTAGGCAGCATCGTTCCAACTACAGACAGTGGTGGCAACGCAGACGAGCATGTCAAAGCAACCAGCATCGGAAAGACAGATAGACAGGCATTCATCAATCTGAAATCAGTGTGGAGATCTACTACACTACACTCAGCATAAAGCCTAAACAACATCCGCATTTTCAACACCAATGTCAAATCACTGCTGCTATATGATGGTTGAGAAACCTGGCACATCACGAAAACCACTTCCAACTAACTACACACATTCACCACATCAACAGCTGCACACACTGCCTCGTTACTGAAGACCACATGGATTGCCAGAATAATGAGAATAAGCAACAAGGAACTGTGGTTGGCTGGCTGGCTGACTGGCTGGCTGACAACGAACCAACGAAGCAAGAACCTATCACTCAACAAATATGCAGTAGCACGAAGTGGAGATGGATTGTGTTGGGCATACACTGAGAAGGCCGATTGGGGACATCAAGCGCCAGGCCATACTGCTCGAGTGGAACTCAGATGTGAAACGACGAGTTGGGCGTCTGAGCCGACAGTGACATGGAGGAGATGATGTGGGGAAGAAATGAAAGCTTGTGGTTAGTCGTGGAAGGAGGCTGAAAAGATTGCAGAGAACAGAGTGGAATGGAGACGTGCTACTGAAGCCCTACGTTCGTTCAATTAGGAACCCAAGAGAAAAATAAATGAATAATAAACACTATACATACAGTCGCTTAAGGAAAAATAGATGTTCACATTCATAAAACTGCAAAACTCAAGTGTTTAACAATTATGCAACACACTGATGAGTAAACTGAGAATTCACTAATTAGACATTGAAACACTAATGTATAAAGGATATAGTGAAGTATAAGGTTACCTGGAAGTACTTCATAGATCCTTTAGCGTGATAAACATCAAATAAACGTGGAACTTGAATCAACCAACGTATATTATCTGAATAAACTTTACAATCAATTGCCCATTTAGCTAAATTATCCCATTCATTAATTGATCTACCATAGATCGAAAGACGTGGTTCAGCGTTTTGATACTTTGACTCAGAGAAATCAGAGAACACTTCCTACATATTTTTAGGGAAAAATCAAATTGTAATGATTATTAACGGTAGAAATCTAGAAATATTCATAGAACTAGTACAATTGGTATGGACAATAAAACTATAGATAATAAATACCAAAAGTTCACTAGTAAAACTGATACTAACTTATGCGCATCACGTATGGTGAACATAGTGAATATCAATGACAGTCATCTATCCAAGAGATGTGTTCGCTTATTGAATAATCTAAGAATGAGTGTAGACAAAACCTTAGTCCCTATATACACAAGGATTTACAACATCAGCGTTCATAGTATCCATCCGGATGCCAAATCATTGTTTTAATTTGCTTGATGGTGGAATTCAGTTTCTGATGCATATCTTGTTCTAGTTAACACTCATAAGGTAGATATTTCTGTACCCCAGATGAGTGATGTTGTTCCCTAGTACCCATCAATTCAAACGCCAATACGTCATCCACTAGGCTACTGAAACACAAAAACCACATTTTCACCATATTTCCATACATTGAAAAGTATTCATATTCATTTTTATTTCACCTAGGTACTGTGAATACTTTTAACTAATGAGAACTGAGACAAGGTGACGATTCCGATTTTTAGCGACACTGAATAGCTGAAATGTGAAGTTGATAATGACACTTGAGTATCTCAAGTTTGATCATGAAAGGGACTTATAGTGACCATACACTACAAGCACCAAACTGAAGTGAACAAGATGATCAGTGCTTCTTAATTTGCGCCTAATAAAAACTTTCTTTTACTACTATCAGTGTTAAAAAAGTCACAGTGTTAGTAAAGTTCTCAAAAAGATAATTCTGCCAATATATATATATTCATTCCAATTTGCTACATTCACATGTGACAACCTGAAAACTGTTGCTTTTCATTTAGCCAAATCAAACCCCAAGTATATAGATAAACTTCATTCTGTTCAAATAACATCTTAGAAAGATTTGAAAATAAAGAACATAAGACGAATATCATGTGTTCTCCGATATTTCTCAGCTACGTTTCAGGTACATGTCATACTCAACGAAATTAGATCATCAAACTCTAACATTTCGATTAGTTACAAACACACATAGAAATCAAGTTCAAAACTTGACCTATTATTATAATATTATTCTTCCCTTGGGTTCCTAGTGGAACATAGGGAATCAGTAGCACGTCTCCATTCCACTCTGTTCTCTGCAGTCTTTTCAACCTCCTTCCACGACTGACCACAAGCTTTCATTTCTTCCCCACATCATCTCCTCCATGTCACTCTCGGCTCAGACGCCCAACTCGTCGTTTCACATCTGAGTTCCACTCGAGCAGTATGGCCTGGCGCTTGATGTCCCCAATCGGCCTTCTCAGTGTATGCCCAACACAATCCATCTCCACTTCGTGCTACTGCATATTTGTTGAGTGATAGGTTCTTGCTTCGTTGGTTCGTTGTCAGCGTCAGCCAGCCAGCCAACCACAGTTCCTTGTTGCTTATTCTCATTATTCTGGCAATCCATGTGGTCTTCAGTAACGAGGCAGTGTAGGCAGCTGTTGAAGTGATGAATGTGTGTAGTTAGTTGGAAGTGGTTTTCGTGATGTGCCAGGTTTCTCAACCATCATATAGCAGCAGTGATTTGACATTGGTGTTGAAAATGCGGATATTGTTTAGGCTTTATGCTGAGTGTAGTGTAGTAGATCTCCACACTGATTTCAGATTGATGAATGCCTGTCTATCTGTCTTTCCGATGCTGGTTGCTTTGATATGCTCGTCTGCGTTGCCACCACTGTCTGTAGTTGGAACGATGCTGCCTAGTCAGGTAGGTGGGTAGGTGGAAGAGACTACTTCCTTAAGGTTTCTTCGATTGATAGTGATTGGTGCTTGTTGTTGTTGGTTGGCTATCTTCATCATTTCTGTCCACTCTACGTCCACCTGAATAAAGTCCCGTCTTCGCTGCCAGGCAAGGCTTCTTGAGTGGAATCCAAAGGGGAAACTACGAGTTAGACGTCCGAGGGTGACATGGAGGAGATCATGTGAGGAAGAAATGAAAGCTCGTGGGCAGTCGTGGAGAGATGTTCACAAAAGACTACAGAGAACACAGTGCAATGGAGTGCTACTGAATCCCTATGTTGCCTAGCTGGCCAAACCTCCGTAGGTGAATGAAGGTTGAAATCTATGATCCATTGACTAATAGTCAATTGCCTGGATCCCCAACTTTACATCGGGAAATGAAGAATAATACAATAAATAAGATTTGCTAACTGATGATGAGAAATGTTACTATGACAACTTAGGATAAATTCTACATTTTGAAAAGTAGACATACATTAAAATTTATTTACAATATCAATTAGTTAAACTAATAAGAATGAAAAAAGGAAGAAAACACCAGAGAATCATAGAAAATAAATTAATAAAAATCTGAAAAAAAAAAATTTAATTTACCTTTAAAACATGTGCAAAGAAGACACCATTAATATAATTATCTGTTTTTAAGAATACTTCCCTTAGTTGACTTTGACCAATTGGATTGTATTTAGCATTGAATTTATCGAATCGATGAAATGTATTACGATCCTAATCATTGAAAAAAGGTACAATAAGAAGATTGAATTCATTCTTAAACTATAACTAAGTAATGTATATGTATATGAGGTCATCCAGGTCAGAAGTGAAATGGATGCTAACTGAAGGCCTTGGGTAATAAATAGTCAAGCTATGTCATGAATTGACAGAAGTTAGAGATTGTGAACCAATGGAAACTGACCAGTGGCTGAATGGTTAACGCGTTCGCCGTGAAACATAAAGGTCCTGAGTTCGACACCTAGTCGGATGAGTACTGCTGAGAAGTCCCATATTAGGACTAAACAGCTGTCCAGTGCTACTAGGTTCCCAATGGTTCCGCAATTGATGTCAGTCTAGGATGAATACTAGTTCGGAATTAAAAAATCCCCATTCATCTCAAAAATACATTAATGTATGTGTATTGTGGGAATGGTTTTACCTTCATGGACTGGCCGCATACTTTAATTAGCAGCTTATAACCCTTTTCCAGTTTTAACCTAATTCAGCAAACATTTTACGATGAGGCAGATGATGGTGGACTAGGCATGCGAGACACATGTCCAGACACTCGTACCAATAAAGATTCATAATCTTATCAACTAACTTTCTTCCTCTACTTATAACGCTACGCTTGACTTCTGCGCTACTCATATGGCGATACTACAACATATAGCCTATGCTACAAAGATGATGGTAGTCAAAAACCTTCAGTGGTCCTGCTTTACAGTTATATACTAGAACAGTGAGAAATGAAACAAAGTAAACTCGAACCTTAATAGGCAATCAGATATCACGGCGATGTCATAAATAGCGCAGACTTTCCTATCCATGTGGATATTTCGTCTGCCAGTGACCAACCTACCAATACTGATCCGGCTAACTGCATAATTGTTGTCAGATAGTGAAAAAGTATACTTGTCAACTCAGTAGTTCAACACCTTCCAAATTGGTGATCTTCCAGGATGAAAGTGATGACACCAATGAACACGATATAGTAATGAATCCGTAAGCGATACAACCGTTATCTTCATCTAATCGTTATATATCATATACATCGACAACTGTTTTACCTCCCTCTTCTTATGATTGCTCACGACTACTGACTACACTTTTTTCTCTCTGTTTCTCGATCTTTCATCTTGGTCTGTCTATGTGACATATAGCAATCTAGAGTGTTATACAATATCCCTAGGTCCCACGTTGCCCACTGTTTGTGATTATCCGCTCTTATTCTAAATCGATATATATACATTCATCCCTTTATTTGGCAACCCAGTGCTACTACTGGGTAGTATAAATCATTTATAATCCCATAGATTCAATAACGAGGCAAAAAAATACGCTTCTCCTTCACTTGGTCTACTTGTCAATAAAACAATTTTTGTCATTCTGCTTCTGAATGGTTACACAATAATAATTTTAATTTTATATACACACCGTCAACTACAGAACAATAGATGTTTTAACCCTGAGAAATCATAGTAACAATGACATACATATGAGTTGTATATGTAAGTTAGTTAACAACTAAATGTGTACCTGATAACGTTTTGATCACAAACGGCACAGTGACTATTATATTTGGGGATTTTTACACAACGTTAGTAACAGTCAGTGCACGAAACAAAAAGTGTCAGTTAGTAGGATAACCATATTGCCTGTATTTGAGTTATATATTACTGATGGATAAAGGCTAGCAGTCAAAATCAAAGACGTGCGTAGTGTCCTAGTTGGGACCCGTCAGCTGGATGTACTTGCCTCTCAGTCATCGACGTTGTTATCACTAGGATTCGGAATAATATTAAGGCATTGACGTAGCAGCCCATATGCCAACAGAGACCAATCAATTCGGTCCACTCAACGACGAGATAATACAAGCAACAACATTAAAACTCTACCCGCCACACAAAAATTGGCTATCGTGACTCAGTGGTCTAGTCGATAACGCTCTGTTATTCAAAGTGACTGGTTCGGAGTTCGAGTCCTAGTGGGAACAACATCGCACACTAGAAGGCATGTATATCTGGCTGACGAGTCCAAAATAGGACGAAATGCGCGTGTTGGATTTCACTTCTAGCTGCTATCCATCATTAATATGGAAGTGTTTTCAGTTCACACCGCTATAATGTGTAGCTGTGAGTCATTCAGTACTATGCTTTATACGCGACTAGTATAACTCCCAAAGTGAAAATACTTCTGATATTACGACCTATCACCTCACATTGTTGATTTATTTTGACCGAACTGATCGACTAGAACGGGTATATGACCTCGTGTGACTATAACTCAACATTGGCGGTCATTTCAGTTTGATATTAAGAGTGAATAGTGTCTAATACTGGAAACCAGAAAGCCCGCTTCCTCCCAGCTAAGACTTGTCAGTTGATTGTATCTATGCCTCTAAGCAAGTGATATTGTTCCCACTAAAACTAGAACCCAGGACCAACCGTTCCAAACATCACAGCATTATTCACTAGACCACTGAGTCATGACAAGTATCGAGAGACCGATCATTTCGATCGAATCAACAATATCCAACTGACATGATTGAGTCTTAGACGGAACAAAACGTATGTTCTGTATTCCACTAGTAGTCACTATCCATCATTAACTACCAAACATGGAATTTTATTCGCTTAACACTTTCACATCAATCTTATCAACATAAAAGTAAGATCATATTATAAACAGAAAAGAAAAGATAAGTTAAATGTGTTTATACAATACAACTAATGTATCCAATGGATATTTGATACATTAATGAATAAAGTTAGAATAATACTGTTAATACACCATAGATTGTTAATAATACTGTATTACTAGAAAATCCTAAAACAAACTAATCAGTTTGGTGACCTGAACTCAATGATAAAAAGCCTTAAAACAAAATACAACCACATAATCCTGATAATATTATACATATTATTAACAAACTATTTAAGTAAGTGATATAAAATTAACAGTTTCAGTGTAAATATTTATATGTAATAAATTTTTGTATTGTAATTTTCTAACAGGCAAATTCATTTCATATTGTATTCTACGGTGTTTTTAACACAGAATAGAAATTAAACAATATCATGAATAGTAAATCGTCAGAGGAATCAACCTGACGAACATATTATCCAAAATCTTAGGTTCTATAATTCTCCGATGCCTGAGTGCAGCTCGGGAAAACCAAGTAGGCTTTGACCTGGCCGCGAGTGTATCGACCAAATATTCACACTGCGCCAGGTACAGGAACATAGACACACTTACCGATGCCCAACAATAACTGTATTTCCCGACTTGAAGGCGGCATTCGACTCTATTGATCGACAACAGTTAGTGAGGCGATATAGAGGAGAAGGATGGATCTGCGATTCACTAGCAGGGGAGACGACTGGGACGATGAGCAGAATACTTCAAGAAACAGTTTAACTGGCCTCCAACCACCATTGCGTTGCCCGCTATCCAGTCGCATCCTGAATGGGACACTGGGATAGGCTCACCAACACTAAAAGAAGTTGAGAAAGTGGTAGGTAACCTGAAACGAGGAAGGACAGCAGGACCAGACGGACTACCTGCTGAGGTATACAAGAATGGTGATAGAGTGCTCTTAGTCAGCTTAAACAGAAGTGTTAGCCAGCATATGGGAATCAAATACGATCCCCTCTGACTGGTCTAAGTCACTCATTATCCCAGTGTTCAAGAAAGGCGAGAAGTCCTCTTGTGATAACCACAGAGGAATCAGCCTGATGGACATAGTATCCAAAATCCTAGGTTCTATAATTCTCTGACGCCTGAGTGAAGCTCGGGAACAGCAAGCCTGAGAAAACCAGGCAGGCAGGCAGGCTTTAGACCTGGCCGCGGGTGTGTCGACCAAATATTCACACTGCGACGCTATACCGAATCTCACCATTTGTTATTCCTCTTTTCTTTCTTCTCGTTCTTAACATTTCTTTTGACTGCATTCTGTCATCTTCATCTTCCACTTCTTTGCGTTTTTACTTGATGTAGTGATATGAGGTGTGGCAAGTTGGACGGTTACACAGTAATCCCTTGTCCTATGTTGATATTGATTGACTGAACTCACTTCAAAACTTTATTCTTTCAATTTCTACCTTCAAGTCCTATATTCCCTTGCTGATAGATACGTAGCGACAAAAAGGCAGCCAATAGGGAGGTTTTCAAGTCATGATCAAATCATGTTCCGGTCGTTAATTATGCATGCGCTGACATGAGAACCTGATTGGAGAAGTTCGACCTTATACAAGAAATCGGATTGGTTGATTTGTGGCTTCACTTTCTGAGAGTTTTGTAAATACATATATGTCATGTATTTGCTTAATAAAAGTAGTCACTGTTCTTGCAATTACAGGCCGTCTTTGTCTTCTGATTTTACGCGGCTAAGTGAAGCGGAAGGTACTGAGGGAGGTCAGTCGTAAACGTATTCGGTTGGGGTGTCTATTGAGTTTTAGTATTCATTATACCCACTCGCGCAACTCCACCACTCGGTCACAACACTTGCTATATAAGTTTTTGTACTGTAAATTACTTTCGATTACCTTCCACTAATAAAACTAATTACATTCTACTACATCAAGAATTTTGTACGGTTGTTAAGTGAATCTGTGTTACGTTAATGTCCATTCATCATAATCCAGTTAACTTCCCAAAGAGATCTCTTGTGTCCATGTAAATCCCACTGAATTTGAGGTGAAACGTTGTATATAAATTATTAAAGAGGCTATTTGAGACAAGCATTGATTTGCAGGTGGATGTTACTGGTACTGAGTGACGAATGAATACGAAGTGAAAACGTGGATATCAATAAGATTCGAACAAGTGATACTCTACCGACTGAATAGCTAGGTGTCACATCTCCGTTGGTGGAGTCAGAATAGCTTTCACCAAATTATGTTAACTGTGGCACCGCTACAATATCCGATTGTCCATTAAGGGTCGAGTGTGCAGCACGGCAATTCACTCTGTCCTACTGTAGGGCTGTGAAACATGGCCATTGAAGGCGGAGGACATGAGAAGGATTCTGGAGTTCGACGACTATTGTCTTCGTGAAACAGGCCATGTGTCGTGGTATCTATGTATCAGTGAGGAAGAAGTTAGATGTAGAGTTTCGAGAAGAGGTAAGTCAGTTGATAAAGTTGTGAACGTTCATCGACTGAGATGACTTGCACATGCGTTACGTATGCCTAGTCGCCCATCTGCCTGGTAGTGCAATGTTAAATGAAATAGATCCATGTAGGAAAAGGCCTTGGGGTGACCAGAATAAAACATGACATCAAATGCCTTTTCAAAATCGATGAATTTCAGGTAAAGGTCCAGTTGAATGCCACTCTATGCTCTCTTCTATGATAATCAGTAGCAAAGCGTTGCAATTCGATCCACATATGATTTGTTCTTACTGAAGCCAACCACCCACCCAGCCAGCCAGCCAGACTGTTCCGGTCGTCATTTTGAATACACCGCATCTTTCAGTCTCTACAGGATGATGCGGCATAATATTTTTCTTCGGGTGGACGGGGACGCAGCATGATTCCACGCCAGTTCTTGCAAACACTGAGGTCTCCCTTCTTTAGGAGTTTGACAACAGCCCTTCTTACAATCAACCACTAGCTACCTTGCCTTCCTTCCTTCCAAACCTACGCCAATAGTAGTGTGAGCATCTCCGCTGTTGTCTCTGTGTCCTTTGTCAGTGCTTCTGGAGGAATTCCATCAGGTCCTGCTGCTTTCGCGGATTTCAGAAACTCTATGGTGTTCAGCGCCTCACTTCTCCTTTTGTCAAAGGCCTTTTGTTCACTGATAGTTCTGTGGCTAGGCTGGGCTGCTGGTGGTAATTCTGGACGAGTCGCAGATGGTGGTGGTGGTGGTCGATTTAAGAGTTTTCTGAAGTGATCAACCCATCGTTTCCTTTGTTTCTCCTCTTTGCTAAGTAGATTTCCTTGGTTGGTTTCGTCTACGTTGATCTCTTCCCTGCCAGATGGTATTAACTTGGTTATTTGATAAAGTGTTGTCAGGTCTCTGTCTTTCCTACTTACAGCAGCCTGTTCTGCTTCACTTGCAAGTGTGTCGTAGAAGTGTCCTTTGTCCTTCCGCGTACTATTCTTTACTTCTTTGTCCAGCGTTTTATACGGTTTACTCAGCTCCTCTTTTCAATGTTCATCACTTCACTGCACTGCACTGGTTTATCTTCTGCTTCATCTTCCTCTCCTCTATCAGTTTCCATGTATCCAGGAAGATTCATTCCTTGTCGTGCTTCTTCCTTGCTAATACGGTTATTTTATCTACCTTACTTCAACCTATTTTTGTCTTTCATATAAATCCCATCGACAAGTAAATACGTGTCCAGACTGTTCGAAGTGTATAGCGTGAATACATCACATTTCTCAGATAACCTCGATCTTCTGATTACATTATGCCAATTCATCAAACATAAACATGCTCTTTTGCACGCCTTAATGCAACAAGCTACCTGAAAGTTATATACAAACCGATCAAAGCCTTGATCTAATAGAATAATTATTCATTTTAACGCTTTCCTTAAACGTTATAGGGATGTTCATCAGCCAGTTTGTAATCGAAAGTCTGTTATCGAAGTTATTTTTGACGATAAACTAACCATATAAGGAAAAAAATTGTCACCAATTACAATTTCCTAAGATATATTTAGTTATGTTGAAAAATAAGGTTTATTCTAAAGTAAAAGAGGAAGTAGTCAAAACATAAACTTCATTTAATCCATTATTTATCACCATTATGAAGAAAAAGTATTATGATCACGAATAAATAAAAGAACAGTGACAGTAGACTCACAGCATGAACGTCCAAATTATCGATACTCAAATCATAAAGGGTTATTCCAATTTTATCTATTAACTTTAAAATGAAAAAAAAAACATCAAAAAAAAGAGAGAAAAATTAGACAAGAAAACAATGATAATGTCATCCAGGAATGTAACAGTAGAGCATGAACAAGCCATGATAGTATACAATTTCAAGTTTATTTGTTTGATTAAGATATATCAAAAGTCGATATGACTAAGAATGCTAAATTGTATTCGAAACGTCATCCAGTTAGTGATATTACTTCGATGTATCAGACAACCCAAGGCGGAAAAATCTTTTTAAGTTATAAAAATATATAAAACAGATCACAGTTACCGTTAGAATTGATGACAACTAGTAGTGACTTCGTCATTGACGCACTGATGGACAAAACCCTAGGTATGTCTGACTTCACAGCGATTGACATACTCCCTGGAAGTCATCTGGTTGATTTGGAATATGCAGACAATATTATGTTGTTAGGTGAAGATGCCGATAAAATGTAGGATCTTCTGAAGGTGTTGAGCATAAATTTGTAAATGTTTGGCATACATCTCGCACATGCCAGACAATGATTCAGGACCGGTCTCCAACTACTATCAGTTCGAGGATAGATAATGAAGTGATGGAATATGTCGACCGCTTCACTTAGTTGCAAAGCTGCATTAACCCAAACAGGCTGGCTGCTGGGGAAATTTCAACTCGGATACAGAAGGCATTTGCAAGTTTGTATCATCCCTGGCATCGGCCGACGAGATATTTGAATATCTATCAAAGGGCGGAGTATACTGCACTGCATTTTACTCTGTCCTACTGTACGGCTATGAGACATAACCGTTAATACAAGACACGAAGCAATTACAGAGTTTTGATCATAGGTGGCTTCGTAGCATTGCTCGCCTTTGACGGTCACCGTGTGAGCAATGTTGAAATCAGGCGAAGGGTACTAGGCAATATAGGTAAGTCGACTGACGAGGTTGTGAACGTTAGTCAACTGAGGTGTCTCGGACATGCACTACGCATGTTGAGCCACTATCTAAGTCGACATGCCATGCTAGAGGAACCTGAATTAGGTTGGAGGAGGAATCAAAGTGACCAGATTGAGATGTGGCACCGATCCATAAAGTCGCTGATTGTTGGTCTGGGTCATATGTGTAGATGTAGACTGCCTGGTTAGGGTCCCTCAAACGAAAAATATCAGAAGTCGAGAACTCTAGGTGATAGGGCTAAAAATCAGTGATAATGTATTCACACCCTGACATTTTCTAAAGTTTATCTGTCAGCCAATCAGTCAGACAAGAGGAATTCGACCCTGTATAGCAACCGGGAATTACAAGTATCGAACAACAACTGATACCCGTTTCACAGGAGGCAGCTTTCATGCCTCAATGAATAATGCTTTAACGTTTGAAGCGATGGGTACTAAGTTCTCGTTTTAGTAGGAACAATATCAATTCCTTAGGTGCAGGTACATCCAGCTGGCAAGTCCTAAATAGGACAAAACGCGTTTCCTGGATCTCACTAGTAGTCACTAAGGTGAACAAAGAGATCAATTTCATCCATACAAGCTATACACTTTGTAAAATGTCTCCTTCTGAAGCGAGCTAGTGAATTAATAATGTAAGCAGTACATAAATATCATTTATCCTCATGTATAGCTGATTTCGAAGACTATTGTCCAGATGTAATGACTAAAAAGCAGGGCGAAGAAATTATCCCAGAATGCTAGACGACTTTCTTGACAGCATCGACCAAACGAATTCGTCTGTCAACCCCCTTACTATTTTCTTAGATTTTACCAGTTTACTTAGAATTCACAAAGCAACCAAGGTGTCAAACAAAACAATATGTGAGTTTGAAAATGGAGAGAAAATAACAAATTACAAAATGATCACAAAAGAAACCATTTTATAAGGTGTATTCACAAAGTTTTCATTACTTACGAGTCCCAAATAGGACGAAATGCACATCCTGGATTCCATTGCTAGCCAATGCCCATCATTACTATTCATAGTTAGTTAAAAAGACAGGCAATATCGAGGCATCCCTGCATAGGAGCCCATATGCCAACATAGACTGATCGATTCGGTCCAATCAACGACGGTATAATACAAGCAATAACACTAAACCTATACTCGTCGCACAAGAAGTGGCTATCGTGGCTCGGTGGTGTAGTGGATAACGCTCTCGCGTTTGAAGCGATCGCCCCAGAGTCCGAGTCCCGGCAGGAACAACATCACTCACTGAGAGGCAGGTAGATCCAGCTAACGAGCCCCAAATAGGACGAAATGCTCATCCTGGATTCCACTGCCCATCATTACTTTCTAAAAGGGTCGAAAAATTGAAAGTATTGGACATCAATAGTATTCATCATGAGGTGAACTAGGTTAGAAGTGAAGTGGATGCTAACTGAAAACCTTGATACACAGTTGCACTACTTCACTAATTGATAGAAATTGTAAACTGTGGATCACTGAGGCCCAATCCAATGGTTAACGTGTTCACCTTAAGTCCCAGAAGTCTTGAGTCCGATCCCTAGTGCAGTTATCAGTCCACACTGATGAAGAGTGATATACTAGGAAAGAACAGGTTTTCAATGATATCAGATTTTCAAGACTTCTCTAACTGATTTCCAATCCCTTAAAAAAAATATGATGAACGTTGGTCTATAATAGATGTCGCAATGTTTATGCATCTTGTACAAACTGCATACGCTATGAATGCAGTATAACTAGCAACCTGAACGAAAAAGATTCTGCTCCATGCAAGTCAAATGATTATATATATATATATATATATATATATATATATATATATATATATATATATATATATATATATATATATATATATATATATATATATATATATATATGAGGAACGCCCTTTTATTCCACCCATTCCAGTGAATAATAGTTTTGGTCTTACCATAAACAACAACTGTGATTAAATTTTGATTCATATAAAAATAAAAGGCTATTTAAAGTACATTTATCAATTAAATTTTGAGGGAGTTGTGGAGATTTGGAAAAAATATTTCAAGTTTTTATTTCATCGTAGACTGACATCAGTTGAAGGAACAAAGGAACCCTAGGAGCACTGGGCAGCTGTTTCGTCCTAGTATGGGACTCCTCACCAGTGCGCACCCACGACCCCACCAGGGATCGAACCCGCGACCTTCAGGTTCCGCGGCCAGCGCGTTACCATTGAGCCACTGGGTCAGAATCCAGTGCTCCATATTTCCAACTTCTGTTAGCACACGATATAGCGCAACCGCCACCCAATGTCATCGTTGAGTATCTGTCCAGTGCTCCAAGGTTTCCTTTGTTCCTCCAACTGATGTCAGTCTACGATGAATAACAACTTGAAACATTTATCAATATTCGAAAATAAACTATCAGTGAACTCTTTCATAATGCATAATACAAGATTGTACTCCGAAAAACATTTCACGCTTGAACTTCAAATTCAAAGAGGGAGGATATTGAGACAACATCAACTATCACAAAAGATTTTCGCCCTGAAATCAAATTCTCCTATCATTCATCGGCACGCGAAGAACAAACGGAAGTGTTAGATTACACTAGTGTGTATGTATGTGCATATGTATCAGTTTATTTGTTCACATAGAGCGGAGTAATTCGATCGTTCCATGACATCAGCTTGTGAAACATGACCGTTGACACTACCCAACCTGGTGGACAATCAATCAATATCAACATAGGACAAGGCATTACTGTGTAACCGTCCAACTTGCCACACCTCATATCACTACATCAAGTAGAAAGGTAGTGAGGTGAAGCATGAAGATGAGAGAATGCAGTCAAAAGGAATATGAAGTACGAGAAGAAAGAAAAGAGGAATAACAAAATGGTGAGAGTCGGTATAGCGTCGTTAAGATGACAATAATGTGTGTATACATCTGTGCCACTGACATCGTTCTCAGCCATGTGATCACCTAGAGTCAATCTCCAAACACTGGTTCCTCTTGTCCCACGGACCCAAACCAACACCTACTCTGCATCACCCCACATGGCTTAAACTAACAGTCAGAGACTTCATACATTGGTGTCATGTTTTAGTCTGGCCACCTCGAGCCTTTTTCCAGCCTGAACCTAGTTCGGGCAACATTGTGTGACGAGGCGATCGGTGGACAACGCGACTGTGAAAATGCACATTCTTCTCTGTAAAAGAACAGTCAGTAAACTCGACTCACACTGAACTCCTTTTGATAATCTCATCAAAACCTTGTACAAAATCCGACCAAGCCACCCGAAAGCAGTGAAGATAAGATATCTGAGCGAAGCAATAGCAATTCAAAAGTTGAAACCATCACCATGTATTAGAAAGAAGTGTGTACAATCTCATTCTTTGCCATGGCTAACATAGCACATCGATCACTCTAGATAATTTCTTTATAGCGTAACTATATTTTATTCCGTAATCATTATTTATTCCCATTAACAACGACCGATGCTACCTTGACGTGGTGGTCGGGCTTGCATATCACAATGACCCAACGAACTATGCTGATGGAACGCTTGTTCCCTTGAGGTCCTACCATACCAGAAAGGTATGTTCTATAGTGGTTAGACGAAAAGCAGTTACCGTTGTGGTGTAAATTATTACACTATGATGGGGGTCTGAGAGTGAAGTAGTACTGCTGCTAGCTGGATGGAGTGTGACAACAGTAAGGTGTTTCCTTGATGATGAGAAGTGCCATGTTGATGCTGCCTTCTCAGTGGAGGGGGGGGCGGGGGTTAGAAAAGGTCACCCCCAAAAATAACACACTCCACCATACCCCACGGTCTACCGGGTCGGCGGTGTTGGTTCATTTGTTGTTTCTTTTCGACCATCCAGTCCCAAAATAAAAGTTCGAAACAACCATACACAAAAGGTTGCATGTGATAGGCTTCAATCAGATACTCGACAGGCTTTGCGGTCACACAAATCTCTTTCAGGTACCCTAAGAATAAATAGCCTTCCATGGTGTGGGCAGCCGAGAAGTGTCAACCACCCTCACAACTTTGTCAGCCCTCAAGTTTCCTCAG